ATTTATTAATTATTTTCTTTAATTGATTGTTTGGTGATGTGATGTGGGAGTTCGATAATCTCAATAGAAATGTCGTTAAGTGCATTTTTCTGAGATAGTCCACTTGGTTTATTTCATTATTTTCAAATTTGAACAAAGAATGGAGGACAAAGAAATTTAGAACAACCAACATTGACTTATTTCTTTGCCACAAAGACTTATTTCTTTGCCACAATCATATGAATGTCTTGAACAGCGAAAAATCAACATCATGGAATATGGTAATGTTGGATTTGGATTAAATAGATTGGAAATTTCTTGGAACTCAATAAAATGTCATCAGGTCAAGTAAAGGTCAATTTTAGGGTTAAGGGCCAAGCATGCTCAAGAATACCAATACTATAACGATCCAAATGAGAATAATGGCATTGACCAATTAGTTAATTTATGTATGAGTCTGGATCCTCGGCCACATATTCCTACAATCATTCCTGCGGCGTTCTAAAACGGCATCGTTTTGTGGTCAAATTTCAATAATAAAAAGAAAAAATACAGAACAAAAGCAAGGAAGGAAGAAGAAGCAAGGAAGGAAGAAAGAAGAAGGAAGAAGAAACAAGAAACAAGAAATCTCCTTCTCCAGCTGCAAGACCCACCTCCCCCAAAAGCCCTATTCTCTAGTCTGCCACCTTCCTCTCTAATATCTCTCTCTCTCTCTCTCTCTCTCTCTCTCTACAATGGAGAATCAGCACTGGTTGAAACTGCGAATCTCTCGCATGCTCCGATCATCATTTGGGTCTTGTAAGTCTCGAAACATCTCAAACGATGTCGAGTGACACGTTTTCGTACCCTATCGACACCACCAATTGATCGAACTCTTCTCTCCCAAATCTCCCAAAACAGAGTCGATTCAGAACCAGAAAAGGCCAAGAAAGAAGACAAAGAAGACAACCCATTTGATCAAAAAGGATAGTTTTGGTCTCTCTCTCTCTCTGTGCATTCAGTTTTATGGGAGGTGGGTCTTGCAGTTGGAGAAGGAGATTTCTTCTCCCTTTTTCCTTCCTTGCTTTTGTTCTGGATTTTTTTTTTATTATTGTTGAAATTTGGCCTCAAAACGACGCCGTTTTGGGACACCGCAGGAATGGTCGTAGGAATATGCGGCCAAGGATCCGGACTCATTTACGTATACACTGTTGTAACTAATTTTCCACCATTTTAAGTTAAAATATTCATCGCGTTTAATTTGAAAAATGATATTTTCATTATAAGAAATTTATATTTATATATGATATATAAAAGGTTAATTTATATTTATATAAAAGTTTAATATAAGAAATTTATATTTTCATCACAAATGATCTCCAAGTCATATCTAAAGTGCCAATGTTTTTTTTTTTTTTTTTTGGGTAATCAAAATAGTCTGCATAGAAAACCTTGAATCGGATTATCATGGGGCGTTTAAAAAAATATTTAGGAGCTGATCTTATTTGTTGAATTTATTTATTGATAAGTCTTGCTTCAACTTTTAATGATAAGTTTATAATTATAAAAATATCTTTAAAAAATACAATTCAATATTTTGCACTTCATACATTATATTTCAATACAAACGAAACAAACACAAGCAAACAAAAAATAAATCAAAATTCACGAACAAAAATTAAAATGTCATAATTATTTATTACTTTGATAAATTTATCACTTTTTTTAGTTTTTTGACTTTTTTTTTGGTGAGAGATGAAATGATTAAAAGTTGAAAAGTGACTTTTAATTCACTTTCCAAAATACCCACAAATAAGTTGGGTCATAAAACTCGCCGATAATTATCCTTAAAAAATAAAAGGGCACTGTCATGCGGAAAAACTGGGATATGGGCCCATGTGTATGGGATGATGGATCAAGGCCCAATCACTAGCTATTGCTGGGCTTAAAAATTTAGGACAATCGAACCTTGCGGGGCTCCGATCCGCTGTTGAGCCCAACTTCTATCCATTACTATCTATTTGGACTTTGTATAATTGTTAATTGAAGTTTTCTCTTCTTCTCTCTTTTATGATTAATGACTGTAAAAATTCACATCATGATGTTTTTAATATAAATAAAAAAACTTATAATGACGTAATAAATTAAAAATTCATATAAAAAATTCTTTTATTTTTACAAGTGAAAGGCAATAGAATACTTTGCTCAACTTAGTGGGTAAAATATATGACGGTAATTATTGTATTAGTATGTCTGTTTATGAACTAGTGAGCCCAATATAGATTTATAGATTGTTAGTGTGTGTCTATTTCGGAATCGGAATATATGAGCTTATCTTTATATCACATTGAAAAGTCTTTATTTTATAAGGTGCACTGTTGTATTGGGTTGTAGTAATAAAGTAAAGAATTGACTCTCACGTGGGCCACAACTAAATTGCCCAACCCAAAATTTAAAAATTGGCCTAACAAATTTTTATTTTGCTAAATAATATATATATATATATATTAGGGGTGGGCAACGGTTTATCCGAACCGCTTAAATCCAAAACCGAACCGCAAACCGCACAAAACCGATCCGCGAACACCCCTAATATATATATATATATATTGCCGAAAAATCCTTAATGCACGTTTATCACCGTTGCATCAAATATCAAAGACGAGCCGCTAGGGGTCCTTGGTAAAAAAGAAATATGTTTTTCGAGAGAATGAAAGTGCAATTACATTCCGATAGACCGTCTTAAGATAGCCAAGATAAGTATAGTCACAGTGTCTTAGATATTCACCCAAAAAACCCAAAGTCTTAGAAAGAGTGACCAAGTCTGCAATTCTTGTCTCTCATAATTAGCATATTATTCGTATTATATACAGGATTTTATGATTTAAAATAAGTCATTAAAATTTTTGTGAGTGATCCTTCTTATCAAATAATTTTACATACAACTAGATTAGACATTGATTTATAGATTTGTCAACTATCCCTTTCTACGAGGAGCATGACATTAATTCCCTCGATAATTCTTATTAAGGTCTCGTTTGGAAAGTGACTATTTTAGTAGGTTATTTGGCTTTTTGACTATTTTAGTAGGCTATTTTAGTTTTGTGTTTGGGAAATTGGGTTAAATTTTTATTTGAGTTAGTGTATTAAAAAATGTGTTGAAAAGATGTTTGTAATTAAAATGACCATTTTGTCCCTACAATTATATTTTTTTTTAATTTCCGACTGAGGGGCAAAATGGTAATTGAGTTGTTGATGTAACCATTTCCGGCTGTGACAGTGTAAGCGATCAACCTATTTTTTTTTTTTTTGGAAAATCAAGAAAAAAGTTGCTACAGTGTAGGCTTTTGGGCTGATTTTCAAAATTAGGCTATAATAGCCTGAAACTCATGTTCCCAAACAGCGCCTAAGTCTCCACCTTTCACCAACAATCATCTCTTCAATTTTTATCTCCGTTCTTTTGACGACATCGACTCTTATTTCAGCACCTTTACTATGCGACCACCACTACTTTTAACTTTCATTCCTTACCTTTTTCCCAAGCCGACTTTTACTCTCACCTGTCACCTCTCTTCTCTAATCTAACATTATCTCCACCCTTCATCTTATTGTTTAGCCATTAAAATTCTGATTAACTATTAATTGATAATAGATTGGTTGAGTTGACATGGATTCTCAAATAAATTTGAACTCGACTCGTATAAAATAATGAATAATTGTATATGCATTGTCTATATAAATACTAATAAATAAAAAATGAACAAAAAATGCTTTAGTTTTAGGAATTTTTGTAGTGTTTTTTTTTTTATTTATGATTATTGTTCTTTATTTAGTTATTTATTATTTTATCTATAAAATCATAACAATGAAATTAGTTACTGATCTTATTTATTTTAGAATGAATTATATTTTGATTATTTTTACCAACAATCATTTCTCCAATTTTCATCTCCGCTCTTTTGACCAGGGACGGATCTAGGATTATGACTTTGGGGGGCTCAAAGTACGTTTAACCTCTAACAAATAAAATTTGAAGTTCAATACCAATTTCAATTAACATGAAAAAAATCAATAATGTTACTGTGGGGACATAAATTTTGAATGACAACACGTGGCCGAGGTGTCACCGAAGTGCCAGCCGAGGTGCCACGTGTCTTGGTCATGATGCCAAGATCATCTCGGCTAGGCTGAGGTTATCTGCGAAGATACCGGAATCCGAAATAAGCGGATAAGGGACAAGAGTCCTAGAATGATAGAGGACTTCAGTTTGGGTAAAGATAAGACTCTTAGAGAGTTTATCCCAATCCTACTAGGAGTCCAAGATTAGCAGTAATCCTAAGTCTATTGGAGCTAGGCTTCTATTGGGACTAGGATTGTGTTGGCTATAAAAGTGAGGCACCCCCATGAATCTAAGGTACGCAATTTATATTCTGAATAGTGAGTTAAGCACTTTGATTATCTTTGAGAGATAACTGACTTGATCGTCGAAGTGTCCCCGGGTGGACGAACCACCGCCAGAATCTCTTCTTTCTATTGCAGGTCGTTCGGGCTTAATCTATTCTACCGGTGCTCTCCAGCTAAGTACTCATTTGGCAGTGTGGTCACTTTTATAGCCAACACAATCCTAGTCCCAATAGAAGCCTAGCTTCAATGAACTTAGGATTACTGCTAATCTTGGACTCCCAGTAGGATTGGGATAAACTCTCTAAGAGTCTTATCTTTACCCAAACTGAAGTCCTCTCTCATTCTAGGACTCTTGTCCCTTATCCGCTTATTCCGGATTCCGGTATCTTCCCAGATAACCTCGGCCTAGCCGAGATGATCTCGGTGTCACGGCCAGGACACGTGGCACCTCGGCTGGCACTTCGGTGACACCTCGGCCACGTGTTGTTATTCAAAATTTATGTCCCCATAGTTACGATAAAATATTGAACTATATATTCTTTGTCAACATAGTTGAGTACCAAAAGATGATTATACAATTGAGAATATTTTTTTGCCCATATTCACTTACAAAAAGTAGTAACTATTTCTACATGCATTTATTTACTAAAATTAGGCATCTTCAATTGAACTTGACGCTCTTTCGTAATACCAAAAGCATGGATGATAGAATCTACATCAAACCCTCGAGCAATGTCTTTTTCAATGTACGTAATCAAGTAACTAGCCAGAAAACCATCTTCTATCCTATTGCGCAATTTAGACTTAATAAGTTTCATAACTGAAAATGCACGTTTTGATGTAGCAGTTGAAACAGGTAAAGTCAACACAAGGCGGATCAATCTATCAATAAGAGGATAACTTGTCGACTTTTTCGTTTTTGCCAACATTTGACACAACTCAGAAATGGTTGACAGCTTCTGAAACTCGGGAAGTATGGAAATATCAAGCTTATAGTTTTCCAACTGATATTTCAAATGCAATTTTTCTTGCTCGGAGAAATCCATGGGATAAAATTTATTTGCAAGTTTACAAATATCCTCAATTTTGAATGATCTATAACCATCCCTAGGATCCAAAGTTGAGCTAAGAACAGGCAATTCCATTACATCTTCCTTAAACATATTGTTTAATTCTTGTAACTGAGAATCAACTGTAACCATAAAAATATCAACTCGAAAATGATGTTCCATGGTGAGTTAATCTCTTTTAGAATGAGACTGACCTCGGCCTCCTTTATAAGGACAACTCATATCAAGAATTTGTATACCATGATCATTAGAAAATAATTTAATTTTCTCCAACAATGGAACCCATCCACCTTCTCTAAATTTTTGAGTAAGTATCTTCGTTGTAGACACCAAATGCATTGCATTTAAGATATCTTGAGATTTACTTTGCAAAGCTTGACAAAAATCATCAGTAATCTCCATGATATCCCTCATAAGATGTAAGATGAAGACAAACTCAAAAGATGTAATGGAATCATAAACTCCATGTGCCTCAACTCGTTGATTCAATTTGCTTCTATCATTAATTATGTTTCTTAGGACTGCACAAGTAGCACTAAACATGTTTATCAAACTACAAATGGAACTAAAATAAGAACCCCATCGAGTATCTCCAGCCCGTTTCAATGTTTCAATTTGATTTTTTCCTTTACCAGTCTCGAATTCATCATCAATGGCAAGCTTTTCAGCAATATTTGTAGCCTGAGCAGCTCTTAATTGATCATGTCTTTTGCAAGATGAGCCGACTATATTAATTGCTCGAGTCAAGTAAGAGAAAAATTGATTGATAGATATAACCAGTTTAGATGCTCTTACTAAAGCCAATTGGAGCCGATGAGCAAAGCAATGAACATAATATGCGAATGGACACTCAGCACAAAATAAAGCCTGCAACCCAGTCCATTCTCCAGACATGTTACTGGCACCATCATATCCTTGACCACGAATATTTTGCACACTAAGGTTATGACGAGAAAGGACAATACAAATTTCTTCTTTCAAAGTTGCCGACGTGGTATCTAACACATGAACTATGTCAAAGAAACGTTCTTTTATAAAACCATATTTATCAATAAATCTCAAAACAATTGCCATTTGCTCTCTTTTCGATTCATCTTCAGATTCATCAACTAGAATGCAAAACTTCCCATCATTAATCTCCTCACGAATGAATCTTTGTATCTTATCAGAGAAAATACTAAGAATCTGCTTTTGAATCCCATGGGAATGATAGGAAGCATTTTGAGGAGCATTTTCCAAAACCACTGCTGCCACATCCTCATTATAAGAAGCCAAGAGCTTTATCAACTCAATAACATTCCCTCGGTTGTTAGATTCGTGGCGTTCATCACGACCTCTGAAAGCGCAGGCTTGGAATGTTAACCATTTAATCACATCTATCGAGGTCTTCAATCGCAAATGATTTCTAGCAATTTGTATGGAAGTTTGTTTTTCAATAATTGCCTCAATATGTTGCGCTTGATTTGTTAAATCACAACAACATTTGATAGCAACTCTATGCGATGAGTTAGGATCCTTGCCCATATGCGATAACAAAGGACAATTCTTCCCTTCATTGACTTTCTTCCAAGAAGAAAATCCCTCGACTTGGGGACATAATTTTTGAATGACAACATGTGGCCGAGGTGTCACCGAAGTGCCGGCCGAGGTGTCACCGAAGTGCCAGCCGAGGTGCCACGTGTCTTGGTCATGACGCCAAGATCATCTCGGCTAGGCCGAGGTTATCTGCGAAGATACCGGAATCCGAAATAAGCGGATAAGGGACAAGAGTCCTAGAATGATAGAGGACTTCAGTTTGGGTAAAGATAAGACTCTTAGAGAGTTTATCCCAATCCTACTAGGAGTCCAAGATTAGCAGTAATCCTAAGTCTATTGGAGCTAGGCTTCTATTGGGACTAGGATTGTGTTGGCTATAAAAGTGAGGCACCCCCATGAATCTAAGGTACGCAATTTATATTCTGAATAGTGAGTTAAGCACTTTGATTATCTTTGAGAGATAACTGACTTGATCGTCGAAGTGTCCCCGGGTGGACGAACCACCGCCGGAATCTCTTCTTTCTATTGCAGGTCGTTCGGGCTTAATCTATTCTACTGGTGCTCTCCAGCTAAGTACTAATTTGGCAGTGTGGTCACTTTTATAGCCAACACAATCCTAGTCCCAATAGAAGCTTAGCTTCAATGAACTTAGGATTACTGTTAATCTTGGATTCCCAGTAGGATTTGGATAAACTCTCTAAGAGTATTATCTTTACCCAAACTGAAGTCCTCTCTCATTCTAGGACTCTTGTCCCTTATCCGCTTATTCCGGATTCTGGTATCTTCGCAGATAACCTCGGCCTAGCCGAGATGATCTCGGTGTCACGGCCAGGACACGTGGCACCTCGGCTGGGACTTCGGTGACACCTCGGCCACGTGTTGTTATTCAAAATTTATGTCCCCATAGTTACGATAAAATATTGAACTATATATTCTTTGTCAACATAGTTGAGTACCAAAAGATGATTATACAATTGAGAATATTTTTTTGCCCATATTCACTTACAAAAAGTAGTAACTATTTCTACATGCATTTATTTACTAAAATTAGGCATCTTCAATTGAACTTGACGCTCTTTCGTAATACCAAAAGCATGGATGATAGAATCTACATCAAACCCTCGAGCAATGTCTTTTTCAATGTACGTAATTAAGCAACTAGCCAGAAAACCATCTTCTATCCTATTGCGCAATTTAGACTTAATAAGTTTCATAACTGAAAATGCACGTTCTGATGTAGCAGTTGAAACAGGTAAAGTCAACACAAGGCGGATCAATCTATCAATAAGAGGATAACTTGTCGACTTTTTCGTTTTTGCCAACATTTGACACAACTCAGAAATGGTTGACAGCTTCTGAAACTCGGGAAGTATGGAAATATCAAGCTTATAGTTTTCCAACTGATACTTCAAATGCAATTTTTCTTGCTCGGAGAAATCCATGGGATAAAATTTATTTGCAAGTTTGCAAATATCCTTAATGTTGAATGATCTATAACTATCCCTAGGATCCAAAGCTGAGCTAAGAACAAGCAATTCCATTACATCTTTCTTAAACCTATTGTTTAATTTTTGTAGCTGGGAATCAACTGTAACCATAAAAATATCAACTCGAAAATGATGTTCCATGGTGAGCTGATCTCTTTTAGAACGAGACCGACCTCGGCCTCTTTTATAAGGACAACTCATATCAGGAATCTGTATACCATGATCATTAGAAAATAATTTAATTTTCTCCAACAATGGAACCCATCCACCTTCTCTAAATTTTTGAGTAAGTATCTTCGTTGTAGACACCAAATGCATTGCATTTAAGATATCTTGAGATTTACTTTGCAAAGCTTGACAAAAATCATCAGTAATCTCCATGATATCCCTCATAAGATGTAAGATGAAGACAAACTCAAAAGATGTAATGGAATCATAAACTCCATGTGCCTCAACTCGTTGATTCAATTTGCTTCTATCATTAATTATGTTTCTTAGGACTGCACAAGTAGCACTGAACATGTTTATCAAACTACAAATTGGGGGGGCTACTCTATATAATTTTGAAATTATCTAAAAAAAATTTGGGGGTGCGAACTCCTATAAGTTTAAATTATTTTAAAATTTCTAGTATAACATATGATATTTTTCAAATTTTTGGGGGTGCGGTCGCCCCCCCTAGATCCATCCTTGCTTTTGACCACATCAACTCTTAAAATACCTCTGTTATGCAACCATCACTACTTTTAACTTTTCTTCATTACTTTTTCCCCCAAGTCGGCTTCTACTCCCACCAAAGCAACCTCTCTTTTCTAATCTAACGTTGTTTCCACCTTTCATCCCATTGTTAGCTATTAAAATTTTAATTAATCATTAATTGATAATAGATTGGTTGAGCTGACATAGATTCTCAAATAAATTCGAACTCAACTCATATAAAATAATGAATAATTTTGTATGCGTTGTATATGTAAATACTAATAAATAAATAAATAAATGAACAAAAAATGCCTCTTACTTTTAGGAAATTTTGTAGTGATTTTTATGATTATTGTTCTTTATTTTGTTTTATGTATGAAATCACAATAATAAAATTAGCTACTGATCTTATTTATTTTAAAATGAATTAAATTTTAACTATTTTCACGACTTACATAATTTTTTTTATTGTTATGTCATTTAATGTATTTTGTCATTAGTCTATACTCAACTCATGGACCAATTGAGCCATTTATTAAATTAGTAAATGCATAATTCTCATTTTTTATAATAAAAAAAGAAATGTGTACATGTTTATACATATTGATTAAAATTTATAAATTTATATATTTAAAGTTGAAACTATTAGAGGAATAGTTTGATATATTCATGTATAAAATAACTATCTAATAAAAGATAAGTTAAAATCAAATCTAATTTTAAGCACGAGACATATATATTTAGACGTTGCATAAAAATGTGCACAACACATTAAATTTTTTCTGATATATATATGTGAAATTTCCTTTTTAATTAATAAACTGGCTGTAAATATTTAATTGCCTAAATTTTTGAAAATTTTTAACATGATACTTGTAATTTTTAGTTTTAAAATATAAAAAAATAAAAATTTTGATTTATATTTTGAAATTATATAAGACTAAAGTTACATTTAAACAATTCTCTTAAAATTCTTAAATTTTAAATTAAATATGAGTTATGTGATGACCGGGTATGCTTTTCGTCTCGTTCCCTTTGAGTTATGATCAGATTTACTCTGTTATAGTGTAGGGTTTTAATGCAAAGTTTTGTTAACCGTTGGGTTCATTGTTTTTGAAAACTTAATCTCAAAATTCTCGTTCTTATTTACTTCGATTATGAGTTTCACTTGCTTCGGGGGGTGCGAGGTTGGATAAGAGGTGTCTAGAGTTGAACTGCTGAATTTTCTGTTTGGAAACAGGACCACACTTGCGGGAGTTGAAAGCTGTACATGCGGGAGAAGGGCCGCACGTGTGGGAAGGGAGGCCGCACGTGTGGTGAGGGAGGGATTTTTGGGTTTGGCTACTACAAAATATTATTGAAGGAGGTGCGGGGGAGGCGCCGCACATGCAGGGATGGGTGCCGCACGTGTGGGACTCCGCTGAATCCAAAAATCTGTTTTTTCTTTCCTTCTTGGGCTGTGTGTATACCACTTTTTGTATATATCTCTCTCTCTCCAGAAACCCATTTCTCCTCATTCTCTCTACATATCTTCTCCCAAACTAGTTTAAATCCTTGATTTCTCCAAAACCATTAACATTTTGACCCTAGTCCTTTGATCAAAGTTGGATATCTTCTCGAGGGCTTCGTTGTGTGCGGTGGAGATCAAGTTCCCATACCGTTGATTTTGGGAGTTTCATCTCATTTCTTCTTCAAATTTAAGGTAAGGATTTTCTTAGAATTATATATACATTTTTGAAGGACTATATTGATTTAGAACAAATTTTGGAAAGTATGGAAACTCTATTTTCAACTCATAAATTGAATATGATTTTTTTTTTTTTTAAATGTGGGTTTCCAAAATGTTCTATATGAAATCTTGAGATTTTGAGTTATGTTGTTATTGGAAAATGTTTTCTTGAGATAATAAAATTTTTATGAGAAGGAAACCTCATTTATGGAAACCCTAGAAAATTAGAGATTCTCTTTTGAGAAATACGATGAGGTTATGATATTCATGAATGTTGAAATGAGGAATTTCTTAGTGTAAGAGGGTTTGTTGATTAAGAATTGTTGTTAAAAGAAAAAATGTGACATAATGTGGGGATATATTTTCTGAATACCAACATGTGGCCGAGGTGACGCTGACGTGTCAACCGGGTTGCCACGTGTCTTGGTTGTGGCGCCGAGGTTATCTCGACTAGGCCGAGGTTATCTCCGAAGATACCAGAATCCGGGATAAGCGGATAGGGGACGAGAGTCCTAGAATGAGGAAGGACCTCAACCTGGATAAGGATAAAGCTCTTAGGGAGTTTATCTTTATCTATAGAAAAGTCCAAGATTAGCAGTAAGCTGAAGTCCATTGAAGCTAGGCTTCTATTGGGACTAGGTTTGTATAAACTATAAAAGAGAGGCACCCCCATGGGTCTAAGGTATGCAATTTATATTCAAAACAGTGAGTTAAACACTATTGATTATCTTTGAGAGATATTTGATTACTGACTTAATCATCGGAGTGCCACCGGGTGGACGAACCACCGCCGGAATCTCTTCTTTCTGTTGCAGGTCGCTCGGGCTTATCCTATTCTGCCAGTACTCTCCAATTGAATACTGAGTTGGCAGTGTGGTCAGAAATTCACTCACATAATTTGTTGAGGTTATGATATTCATGAATGTTGAAATGAGGAATTTCTTAGTGTAAGAGGGTTTGTTGATTGAGAATTGTTGTTAAAACAAAAAATGTGACATAACCATGAAATGATTAATTTGTTGAGAATACTTGAATGTGGAAATTTTATTGCTCTTAATGGGTTTATATGGATATATGGTGATCTTGTGAATTTCATTGGAAAGGGAAATGGAAATTGTGATCACGAATGAAACAATTGTGTGGAAGTATTGTAAATGTAAGAATGTTGCATTGCATGGATAATTGTTGCATTACATGGGTAATTGTTGTATTGGCATTTCAATCCATTTTGTTGTTCCAAGTTTTTGTATAAAGAAAATGAAAGTTTGCATTTGAAAAGGGAAATGTTTGTGAAATGAGATCTTCATTGATTTGTTTTGGGGTAAATACGTTGGTAAGTTTGGATAGGGGGTGTGGATGAAATTGTTTAAGTTGGCCTGAGTGTCCAAGGTGAAAGACTGAAAACATGCGCGGAGTAGGTACCACGTGCCTTCCGGTTAGTTACCGGTAAAGTGGGGGATTGGTAGTGCTAGTTATGCTTACTTGCAGATACCAACCTAGAGATTACCTGAGTCATATTTAACGCCCCTTGAATTTGATGTAAAACTATGAAATTGTTAAAGTTTCAATATCACTGTGTATGCAGATTTTTCTTTAAGAGAATAAAGATGCGAATATTTTTCAAAGACATAGCATGGCATGTGCATTTCATTTCATGACAATTGTATAAAATGTATATACTTTGTTAAGAATTTCCTACTGGGCTTTATGCTCATCTGGTGGGATCTTGGTGCAGGAAAAGACGTGGTGAATCCGCCAAACTAGGGCGTGGATGTATATGCTGAGAGCATAATGCTCTTGTTTTGTTTTGTGTATATTTTGCTAGCGAAGGGCTATACTTGTATGGTTCCGAGCAATTTTTTTTGTGTAGCTAGGCTTAAGCCCTCGAATTTGTAGCCCTTAAGGGCATTTGCTTATTTTTGATTAAAAGTTCTACATGCTATAGATTTATGTACTAGGAATCGTTGAATGTATATTTGCATGTGGAACTATTTTGTACAAACCTCATGAATGTGTACTGCATATATATTGGGGATTCATTTCTGGTTTATTATATGGAATAGTGGTGGTTGGGTTATCATTATGTAATTTTTTTTTTTTGGGCATTACAACTTGGTATCAGAGCTACCGATTTTGAATTGGGGTTCACGGCGAGTGGTTGTTTTGCCACAATGGGTTCATTTTGCACAATTAGGAGATATTGCATATTTTGTGGCTATGCGATAATATGTTTATATGACTAGATGGGTATGGGATTGGACCTTTGGGATGTTGTTTGCGCCTATTAAATTCCTTGAGGTCTAATTAGAAGGGTACTTGATCAATACTCATTTTACTAAGAATTCTTAGGCCTTGTTTGGTTTGTTTTTCAGAAATTTTTTTGGGAAAAATTTTGTACAAACAAAATTTCAAGAGTAATCAAACCAAACAAATTTTTTCAAAAAAAATCTCAAAATTTTGTTTGGTTATCTACTTTCCAAAATCCCTCTCTCTTTCTCTCTCATACACATCAAATCAATCACTTTTTTTAAAACTCTTTCTTTCTTCCTAAAATAATTTTCCAAAACTATTTTTGAAAAAAGGCAAACCAAACAAGTTTTCGTACTTTTTATCTCAAAAACTACTCTACAAACACAAACCAAAACACCCATAGTTTTTTGTGGGACAAATTTCATCACAAAAGAATAATCCGTATGTGCTTACATGACTAAGTACTTATGTGGAGTGAAATTAAATTATTTGTATGGTAGAGAATTTATAGAATTGTTGTGGTCGAACGTATGAGGCAAGTTGCGAGCACATACGAGTTCGTGCGCTAAATTGTTCCTTTTGTCCCTCAATTAGGATGTCAGGAAGGGGTCAAGCCCGTGGTGGTAGAGACAGAAGGTGTGGTAGGCTTCACCGAGGTGTACATGAAGTACCGGTCCATGAGGTTCCAGTGCAAGAGAAACGGTTTGGCCAAGCCAAAGTGATCGAGCAAGCAGGCCAAGCTAATGTGGCCGAGCAAGTAGGGCAAGCGGAAATTCCAGGGCAAGCGGGCCAAGCTGCAATGGGGGCCCTAGCACGAGAAATGGCCGGGGCTTTGAGGGAATTG